TTACAGCAAGAAACATTCCCACCTCCTCTTCTTACAGTTAAAGGGCTTAGAAGTCTGAAATCAGGGGACTGTTTAGGAAAAGGCTCTGTCTATCTGCTCAGGGGGAAAGTCTTTGTCTCTTTCTGTTTCTCTTCCTCTGTTTCTTGATGGCATCCACTTGGCATAAATCTTCATCCATTCATGATTCCTTCTGTGTCTAAGGAGCCTGGTAGTTCAGTGATTAAGCATTTGGTGGTTAACCAAAAAGTTAGCAGTTGGAACTCACTAGAAACTTTTCAGGAAAAATATATGGCGGTCTGTTCTCTTAAAGGTTTTATGGCCTTGGGAACCCAGTGGGGTAGTTCTACTTTTTCTTATAAGGTCTCTCTGCATTGAAATTTACTTGAAAGTAATGAGTTGAGTTCTGTGTATAATCTGCTCTTTCATATCTCAAATGCAATCGTTTTAAGAATGAAATGCACTGATATGGTCTTGTTAACATATCAAAGAAAAATTATATTCCAAAATGGGATTTTATCCACAGGAGTTTTGTTGTTAAATGCCATCTTGTCAGTTCTGACTCATAGCAACCCTGCATAGGGTTTCTGAGGCTATAAATCTTTATGGGAGCAGAAAGCCTCATCTTTCTCTCACAGAGTAGCTGGTGGATTTGATCTGCTGGCCTTGCAGTTAGCAGCCAAACACACAATCCACTATGCTACCAAGTGTTAGTATTCAAATACAAGGAGAGCTCTGCTGGAGCAATGGTTAAACATCCAGCTACTAACCAAAGATAGGTAATTGAAACGTACCAGCTGCTCCACAGAACATAAGATCTGGTCATCTTCTCCTCTAAAGATTAACAGCTTAGGCAGTCCTGTGATGGGGTTCTACTCTATCCTACAGGGTCACTAAGAGTCCAAATTTACTCAACAGCACACAACAGCATTCCAATAGAAATTTGGGGGGGAGGAGTGGGGAGAGACAATTCAATTCCTAACAATGATACTGCAGGATACTGAATGAGAAACCAGCTGAACATGAAGCAATACCAGTGAAATCTATGTATGTATATGTGTTTATATACCTGGTGGTGGTCGTGTGCAGTGTAGTCGGTTCTGACTCATACTGACCCTGTACAGGGTTTCCGAGGCTGTAAACCTTTACAGGCACAGAAAGCTTCATCTTTCTCCTGCAGAATGGCTGGTAGTTTCAAACTGCTGACCTTGAGTTTAGCAGCCTGACTCGTAACCACTATGCTACCAGAGAAGTTTATATCAAGGAATAGCTCACAATTGTAAAGTCAAGTCCCCAGAAGAAAAGAAAACTAAGTTCTTCCTTCATGCCCATTATATTGTTGGGAGCAGGTCACACTCCCAGGAAGTATGCTTTCAGTTGATTGGCTTTTCCTAGCCAATCATCATAGAGTTAACCATACCTGTTTTAGATTACATTCTGGGGATAACCATATCTCAACTGCCAAAAGATTGGGAATCCTGGCACAATCAAGTTGACACAAAATCTAAGCTATCATAGTCCACCCTTAGTCAAATTGACACGTTGGAACTGCCTTGATTTTTCAGGTCTTGAAAATCTTCTTTCTTTGACGGGGTACAGCCTACCACTATTTTATGATTCTCTACTCTGGTAGCATAGTGGTTATGAATTGGGCTGATAACCTCAAGGTCGGCAGTTTGAAACTACCAGCAGTTCTGCGGGAGAAAGATGAGGCGTTCTGCTCCTGTAAAGATTTAAAGCCTCGGAAACCCTGTGCAGGGTCACTATGTGTTAGGACCGACTCCACGGCACACAACAACAACAACAACCAATGAAAAAGACTTGACTTTTTCTTGTCGGACTTCTTGTTGCCTAGCACTTTCCAGTTTTCATAGGTTTTACTGCATTAAAGACTTAATGCTTTTACATAGTGAATGATTGTTATCAGGACTGATTGTGAGGGTTGGAAATGTAAAGGTAGACGTTTTGTAGCAAGGAAGGGAGTGATTAACTCTCCAGTCTAGGAGC